CTTATAAAATATATTAATAATTCATGATGATTAAATCAAATTAAATAAAGTTAATGCGATAACAAAAAATATCGTGAGAATAGCACAATTATTAAACTTATTATCTCTTACATTATTTATCTCACTGAGAAAAGTAATGTATTTTTAGAATCTTGAATATTGTAGGTTTGAACATTCGAATGGATTTATAATAAAGTGTGTTTATGCATTTACTATAGTAGAAGGGTTGAGTGGATAAGAGGTAGGCAAGCCTTAATATTCTTAAATGCATCACAGTGTTTCAAGTATCTATACCTTTAAATATTACATTTAATATAAAAAAACGCTTACATAACGCTGTAAGTTAGTTTAGGTCGGCACCAAGATTGAAAAATCCTTGTTTTTCTTGGATATATGATTGATAAAGCCATGTAGTGTGCGAATTCACACGCTGCTGAGTATGTCTTATTGTTTTAGTAACTAATCACTGGTGCAAGAACTTTTAGTTACGCACTTCTGTTTCGTTTTATTCTATAGATAAAGATGTTGGATGATATTAAAATATTTTGAATGTGTTTTGGCTAGGTCGAACGTGCACACATCATATTTTCTAAAACTTGATTTTTTCCAAACATATTGGTCTTTCCGCAATTGTCACCAGACTTATCTAAACGGAGTGTTACAATTTTTGACGTTCTACGTCAAGCAGAGTTAATGTAAATTAATTTTCAATCTGTTAAATTAATCTTACTCAAAAACTAATCAAATAAGACTTACCCCCAATAAATAACCCAGTGAGTCCGCCTATTTTGACTATATAAACACGCCTTTCAACTGTTAACAACACACAGTCAAAAACATAGAAATATAAACCATGTATTTTGTCTCGTTAAAAAAAGCGGGTTAAAATTTTGAAAAGGTGTCATCATGTTTCTATGTTCTTGTTTTTGATACAGTATTTCCGTGCTACGTGCGAATCATTATTTAAAACTAATATAATTTATAACTAAATATATTCCTATTGGATCAAAAATATTGTTAGCAGATTGCCGTGATAAAATGTTGTCATCTTTAAGCAGTTAAAGCAGGGAAAGTTCCAGAAAGATCTGCCAAAGACTTCTTAGAATTGAATTTTTTTCGTATTTTTATAATTATAACAATTTGTACTCAAATATAACAAAAGTTGCAAATTACACTTTATGCTATAAACTCGTGCCATTTAAATAGTTTAACATTATAATATTTTTAAATCATAAGTAAAATAAATAAAAGAAATATTGTATAAAAGCAAATAATGATATCAAGAAATATTTTATCTAGTTTAGTCGACTAAATTCCACATAAAATTAAATAGTCATATATATGTATTATACATATAAAATTAAAAATAAAAACGCTAAATAAAAAGTGTGAAAAAAGAAGCATAAAATGTGAATTCAAAACAAAACTCCCTCAATTGTTGTGTGCAGCATCATTCCATGATATGCTGCACAATTTCCGGTCAGTGTGCACAAAATGCCGCAAAGTCAACGACTTCCGTTTAAGTAAATAAAAAAAAAATTAGTAACATACATACATATGTTAATAAACAAAAGTAAATAATGTTAAACGTAAATAAATAATATATTATGAATAAATTAATTAACTCAATTCACCCCATGATATTTTAAGATAATTAAATACGTCATTAACACCAATTAAAGAGTAAAGAGAATGAAAAGAAAATGTTGATAGCAATAAAAAAAATTCCGAAATCATAAAAAATGCAAACAAATTCACACAAAATGCAAATTGATGTGCTCACGCGCACACATGTACACAAACTCAGTAACAGCGACTGCATGCACATGCGCTGCACACTGCACAGTAAAACGAAAAGTCTTACAGTTTAACAGCGGTTTTTACAGAATCCCAAGGAGCTTCTTACCTTTCAAATTTATTAACTGATTTATAATTAACAGAATTGAATTATATTAATGTTCAGCTATTTTTTATGTAAAACAGTTTTAATTTTAGTGATAAAACTTAAAGATTTTAACATTTTAATATTTTAATTTAATGATTGCAGGTGAACACATAATTGTATTTTAAAACATTAGTATTAATCGATAATAAATACTTACTTGATAATAAGGTAATAGATTATAGGTTATAGACATTAATCTATAATATAATTCATAATATTTTTGATAGTTTTTATTGAATAAAACTCTATTTTAATATTAAACTAAATTCATTTAATTTAATTAAAACCGGGATAATTTTTTTACATTTAACACTCATAGTTTCATACTATAGTTTGTTTTAATACTTCACAAATTTTTTTAACAAATCTCACACAAACCATTAATTTAAATTTGTAGGTAACTACAGTATGGCTACAGTAGATATGTACTTTCTCAATAGATCAGATGGATACCAGTTATTCGTAATAGTCCTAAACTTTGCTCAAAGCAAATATTATTATTTTTGAAAAATCTTAAAAGATATTTCTGTTAGTCTACCATCAAGCAATTTAAAACTTTGAGTCACTAATGTAATATTGATATTGCATTTGTAATAGCACTAATAATGATAGTTAGTAGACTATTTAAGCAAAATACATAGGATTTATTAAAATTAATTAGTAAAACTAGTTCGTTAATTAATTTATACCATTTTCAAAACCATGCATTTATGGCAATACTTAAAATGGACTAAACTAATTTTTTTTGAGGAGACCGTAGTTTATGAGAAAATAAGAGGAAATATATTGCAAATATTATAAGATGAATGTTATTAAAATAGAAAGAAATCCTTTAGATAGATAATATGATATTTACTTATGTGATACGATATTATGATATAGTTGACAGAGATGTATACATGTTGATCATGAAAATTAACCGACTACAATCAGCTTTAATACAATCTGTCGTTCACCTTCCACTTTACCTATCTATTCTACCTTCTGTTATTATAGATTGATCTAAAATCAAATATTATTACATTTGGAATTAATGTCACAATCCTTACAGCAGTGGGATGTGAAAAAGCCGGAAATTCATTACTACCACATCCATGTTTTCTCACAAAAACATGCAACTTTTTAACAAAATCAAATGGAACAGACTTGTTTTCAATAGATTTGTTGCACAAATTGGTTCCTACAAATGGTATTAGCCACGTATGAACAAGTATTAAAATAATATTTTCTTTTCTTTTATTTTTCAACACTTCAAATTTATATAACTTTAACTGTTTGCTAAACCCTGACCTTATTTAAAAAAAAAAAACAATAAACTTATATCATAGGAAAACTGTAATGTTCTGTACTTTAGTTCGTAAAAATCCTACGTTTGCAGAATTTGCTTTACTGTGCCATAAAAAGGAGAAACAGCAGCAGTAACATTTGCTCATTGATCTTTTGCAGTTTACACTGTTCACATACGAATATTGCTGCAATTGTGTTGTTTTTGTTGTTGTTGTTGTTGTTATTGTTTACAGTACTTGATCTGTTGACTGCATTACTAAATTTGCATTTTAAATAAATGCAAATTGATTTGCAGCATTTGTATTTTGACTTTTGTGGATTTGGTTCTCGTAGTGACTGAATGAAAATATGCATGACAAAAAGAAGATTTGAAGGAAGACACTTTCAAATTATATGGCCTTTCAAAAAAATTTATATTAAATAGAAAATATTTAAGAGGTTATTAACTAAGCGTTCAGTAACTGTTAAATTTTTATTGCAATTTGTCAGAATTTATGAGTTTTATTGCTAATTAAAATTTTTATGCCAATATTTATGATTAAATTTATAAAATGCATAGTTATTATATATAAATAAATTAGGAATTTTTAGATAGAATTTTTTATTTTTCCCTTCAATTATTTCATTTCATCGTCCTTAATGGAATTCACCAACTCAGATATACAGTTTTAAAATCAAATGTTGTATATATATGATGTATATTAGTTTATGTTTATATATATTTATTAATTATTTCATTATTATAGTCGTGATCTGTTATATTCTGCAATAATTAATGTGATTGTTTTCTTAAATCAACGGTATAACTGTTGGGCCATCCTTTACAATATCAGCTTTAAAATTAATCGACATTACTTTAATTAAAAAACTAATTAAATAATTATTATTTTATTTTGTATTTTATTCTGTTTTTATGAAGGTGAATCCGAAATCTTAAACAGTCGTTAGATGTATGATACTACCAATTATTGTCAACTTCTTTCCCTTATACATACCTATTATAATATAATTTTGATGTTGTTTAAAAGGTTATAATTTTGGTGTAGTTATAGGTTAATATTTAACTATGTGGTATATAAACAGAGAATCCGTTAAATATCGAGTTTCATTAAGAATCTTTAATGAAACTCTTAAAATCTTTTATTAAGAATAATAAAATTGAGATTAGGTTACTAGTGGTAAAGCTACTAACATTAATAAAACAGAAGACAATCTGTTTTTCAAATTAGACATAAATGTCGCTTTTTGTCCACTTCCAAATATGAAGATACGAGTACCCAACCTAGAATAAGACAGAAAACCTCAGCCTTCTTCATTTTAAAATTTGTTTAAAAATTGTGTTTTTATTGTTTGAATATCAAATAAAAGCGTGTTTCAATATCAATTTGTTTTCATGGTGCCAATTTTTATTAAGAAACGAAAATGAAATATATATCTAATAATTATTTATTTTCAATAGATTCTATTACAAATATGTGTAGATAAAATGGTTAATAAAATTTTTAACAATTGAAAAAATTATTTTAAAATACAATAAGGATATAAAATATAAAAATATGAAAATATTTTCAAAAATGTGACAAAATGTGTATGAATTGAAGTGAAGTGAATTTTTATGGCATATATACATAAAAATAATAAATAAATCAAAACATTTCAATAAATTAATTAACACATTTTCAACATTTACTATATGAATAAATAGTATTTTTATATAATTAAATAAAAATAAAATAAATAATAAATTATATACCTTCAGAAAGAAAGATACTAGTTTGTGTGTTTTCTTTCTAAGTGTAAAAATTGTATTTTACAAGTAATTATTCGTAAACCATCACCCGCAACCCGCTCTCAAAGAATGTACAAAATGTTTACAAAGCATTTTAGAAGAAAATTAATAAAAAACAATTTCGCTGCCGTCATCATTTTTTGTGTTTTAGTGTTATTAGTTGACAAGGTTAGTATAAATAATATTAAAAAAATTAATTATTAAATTAAATTTTATTTGTTATATATATAAATAATAAATCATATATAATGTATACATCAGTGCTGCCATAGTTTGAATATTATTTTGGTTAAGAAATGTCGAGTTGGTGTTTGCAACTCCTTTAATGCTTGGTTTTAAGTAAGCTGGGCTTTGCCATCGTTTCAATATTTGAATATATAAATGGTTTTTTCTGGTATCTGATGGTTTTGGTTGATACTAAGGAGAGAACTTTTTATTGCCTTAACAAATTTGTGGCTTATCACTTATGTTGTTTTAATAAAGTCAATGTTTTATTATTTCTACTTAAAGAGATTTTCAATATCAATAATATTATGATTTATGACTGTAAACAGTAAGTATGAAACCAAACATTTTATGGTACTTTTATGGTCAATTTTCTTTGATTAATATTTTTTTTTAATTAATTACTAATTCATATTAAAGTTAATACGATACGCAGATTCTTATGTAGTTTTATTCACATCTAATATTACCTGGTATTCTTTGGTTCACATTAAAAGAAAGCAGTTGTAGTATATGCAGAGTTCTTAAAAGAAGAAAGAGAAATATATTTTACATATATTTTATATTTCACTTTAAGTGAGAACAGGATGTAGGATAAAATGTTGAACAGCACAATCAAATTCTACTATTACTTCATGTGGGTGGTAAAACTATGCTTAATCGCAAGTGTTTAATATTTACCTTAATGGAGCGTATTACATAGAACATAGTCTTTCTATGAACTTTCCAATTGAATTTTAAATTGTGTTAGGTGTAGTCCTAAGACAATAATGAAATTAAAATTTTTTATTTTTATACAAGATACATTTTAGTTTTCTATAAAAATAACGAATTATTTTATTTTCAACATATTTGGTTGCCCATATATCACTCATCTTGTACCTACTTTATGGATTAACGTTATTTTGTCGATTTTTATATGTATTTATTGGGATTTTCGAAGAAATCAATAAATAGTTTTATTGCAAATTTTAAGCAAATAAATTCAATACGTATTGGATTCATAAATTCAAAAATACAAAAAATAATGTAATTTAGTATTATAATTTTTTTAAAATTTGCTAAAATTTTTCATAATTTTAAACATTTTCGCGCTAACACTAATTTTTATGACGTATGGCTGTCTGCACTATACTCAAAAACAATTATTTTAATTTTATGAATATTAAAAACTTGTTTTATGAACCACAAAATAATTATGTGTTTTACATGAGATAATTTTGCAAAGTTGTAAGTTGGATGGATGCCCAGAATTGGAATTTCAGGGAACTAATTTGTGTCCTGTTACCTTTATGTTCGTTTCTATTTTTATTATATCTAATAAAAATAGAAATTCTGAATGACTTACAGAACGGTACTTAATGGATTTTTTACATATATAATGTATATACTTTGTTTTTGTTTGTATAAATTAATGAAGGCGGTGGACCAATAACTACATTTTCTAGAAATGAGAGTGCCAGAATTATTAAAAATTGTTTTGTCTATTTAGTATCATATTTTGCGTGATGTTATCCTTTTTAGTGTTGATCAATAGCTTCAAATTTTTCCCTTAATATACATTTTGGTGAATTTTTTGGTGAAGGTATAATACTCTATATCGGTAGTTCGTTTCTTATTTAAAAAAATGTCGTTTATTGAAAAGGATTAATTCCATCTTAACTGTATTAATTTATTTCTATTATTGTGTACTTAATTGCGCTAAGAAAGATATGTGCGGGTTTACTGAATCAGTGTTTAGCTGCCAATAATCTAACTAAAAGCACTTACAATTTCAATTTTAAAACATTAGAAATCGAATTTTGTAACCGATTGATGGCATAATTGTCTTAAGGAAATAATAGGTTCCTTTTTGGAAAATGGAACAAAGTAATTTTTTCATCCTCTTTTTGTTTTTCTCTTTGCAATTCATTTTCTTTGTTTATTGTTTGTTCTACCTATTTCATTTTCCTAGCTCTTTGAAAAAGTATGTCTCTTTTATGATAAACCTGCATTCTAGTGGTCGGTTTTAGGTGGTGTCGTCTATTTTACGTATCATTTTTGAGTTAATCTGTCCTTTTCTGCCCAGTCATTTCTTTATTCTTAATGGGAAAGTTGAATCCTTTCATATGAAAGAATCCTTAATTTCAATTTATTACGCAAAAATATCACCAAATTATCAATTCTCTGTGAAGTTTGAGTTTATATGAGACTTTCTACAATTTTGGTATGTCAATCACCTTTCTATATGACGCATTATTAATTAATATTCCATATGTACCATTTTAAGAGATCTTTAAGTATTTTTGAAGACTTCACTGAACAACTTTTAAAAGCTCTAACCATTGAGCTTTGCTGTTTATGTCAGGAAGATAAATAAGAATTACAAATCCAACTATAGGATTAACTACAAATCTGGACTAAAAAAATTATTCTGCAAGGATCCACTTTTGAATAAAAACTGCTCTTTCAGAAACCCTTACTATATGAAAACTAAATCGCTAGAATGACAAGATTCGCAATTAATAAAACCCTACAAAAACTAAGAAACCGAGAAGTGTTTTAAATTTCCATCTTGTTCATTGGCGACAGGGAACTCTAAAAACTAAATATGTTAAACTGATAAGGGTCACTTTTGAATAAAAATTACAGATACTGTAACCCTGACTTCGTAAATAGCTTGAATAGAATGGGGAGACACCTTTTAACAAAAAGTCTAGAAGAACAAAATGAACACACCAATGTTTTAAATTTAATTCTTCTTTATTTGGATGGGAACATATGTATTTTCAATGGCTGTCCTTAATAAAAAGTGTTTGAAATAATTACTGATTATCCTAAACTAAAACTTGTTAGCGCTAATTATATTTATACTTGTTTTTTAATATGTGCTGTGCTTTGAAAGTATTAAATATTTTTGATAATAATTCATAAAAATATTATGATGTCGACATGATATCCATATCTTTTTCTATGGATAAATATATATACGTCTAAGGCGCGAGATATAAAAGAGATAGGTATTCGTTTATATAATTGATAATAACAAAAATACAATAAATAAAATATAATAATAATAAAAAATAATTCATAACATTATTTGTATATAAAATAAATTAATTCTCTTAATATGATGTCCATATGATATCCATAAGTTTTTCCATAGATAAGTAAATATACGTTAAGGCGATGAGATATAAAAAAGATTGGTATTCGTTTATATGATAGATATAACAATTTCTCATAAAATTAAAATTCCTGGGTATCAAAATTTAAAATGAAAACTATTTTATTTAATTAACATTTCTAAAACTATTCTGCATTAATTCATAATCCATTTTGTGTAATCCATCCCAAAAATTGATATCGATTTGTTGACAGTTAATGATTTATTAAAAAAACCTTTGATTAATCGATAAGTTTTTAATCTGTTGAAATGCTTTATCTTGATATTGGCTGTATGATTATTTTATGATTTTGTATTTGAATAGATTTTCTTCAAGTGCCGTTTGGCTTGCTTCTTATGAATTGAGAAAACAATTAATAGACTCTGTCCAACAATTCAACCCGTGGGACTTGCAATCATATTGATATAACTGCTACAAAATTGTATAGGAAATTAAAGAAAAAAAGATTTTGTTTCAACGATTTCGAAGAAAAAATGCGTTAGGATTCTCACAGTTCGGAATGGAATTCTCACATTTAATGAATATTCTTGTCAAAAACAAAAACAATAAAATCAAAAATTAATGATATAATAAAGAAGGTTTATTTTGATTTTTATTGTCATTAGATAAATTAGTAGTGTCTCTGTAGAGCGGTAGAGCTGTAGAGCTGTCCGACCAATTGACTACTACTGTTCAAATAATTTCTCTTTAAAAATGTTCATTTTACAGTGTGCGATGGCAATAAATCAGTTGAGACTGAGACTAGTCAAATTTATTGTATTTTTTGTAAGGTTGTATGCATTTTGACTTTAATTTAATTGCAGGTGATTAATATTTGTATGCCTATCTGTCTTTAGGTTTAGTAGCAGTTGATTTAGGCGTATGTAAATGCACTCGGTCAACACATTTACGTAGTAAAGAAAAACTTCTCATAAAATGAGACAATTAAATTGATTATAAGCATTTATTTTTAGAAATATTGGAACCCCCAAAAAATTCCAAATTAAAAGCAACTGATTTGATTACTGTGAGATCAGCCGCGATAAGATATGGACACAATATTTTAGTTGAAAAATTACTTTTTAACAGGAATTAAACGCAATCCCGACTCGAGTGACTGTGGCACACGAGGAAAAAAAGGCAAAATTAAATAAGGAACAAAATGATTCAGTGAGTCGTCTGAGTTCGGAGTCAGTCCAGTCCGTACAGTTTGAAAATGAAGAGACTAAAAAAGAGTTTATTAAGCAAGCAGCGGATGCACATTAAGTTTTATGGCTCTACTCGAGACTCAGTACATAGTCGGTTTCAGTCTTGACGCATTATCAATGCAGCACATATGCATGGGAAGTTCTTTATGCTTAGTATAGAATGTAGTGTATGTAAATGTGTATGTATGTTTAAAAAATTCCAATCTGTAGAATCAACTCAGAAGATTCAAAAACGATCAAAAACTGCATTAAATGTTTTTCTAAGTTGGTGGTAAAATATTTTGTTATATTTTATTTAAATGACATTAGTGAGCCGAACGGCAATAATTTACTTGTCTTCAACTGGCTTAAGTGGACAGACAACTGATTATGATCATTACCAGCAACGATCTTGTTAAAATATTTAAACAAGATATTTATGTGTGCATTCGCTGGACATTTTCAGTAAGCCAAATACGAGCTTAAGCAGCAATTAAACGTAATTAACATATAAACTGATTTTTTTTCTGCAAATCACCTTTTTCCCCAAGATTTGCAGTTCTGCTCAGTTCGGCTCATCTCAATATGAGAAATAAAAATAAGAACTTAA